AATATGCAGCCAGGCTTAAAACATTCAGATATTTATACACTCTTAACAAGTGGTAAATGAGCCTTAAAAAATCCCTCACAAACCTCTGCAGCAGCAGCCACTGTGGAACAATTCACAAAGTTCACAGCAAAAGCACTCGAGTTCTTCAAGTCTTTCCCTCAACAGCTCCGGCCCCCCCCCCCTTTCTTCATCATCAGAAACTCAGCATGTTCCCCCTGTCAGCAACTCTGTTCTCCCTTGTAGACACTTATTTTTGCTTTGCTGTTTATTAGCAACACTGCAGAAACCACCCTCGGGCAGGCAATGCACCCATCAATGACTCTGATGATGGCCCGGTTCACAGACAGTGTGCAGAACCAACCGGAACGGCACTATATCATGCGATCATTGTCATGGCCATTCATAGAGATTACAAATGTGAACAGATTAGTGTTTGCATCGGAGAGCCTGCCCCTTCCTCTTACAGCAAAGGAAGGAGGAAATAGCGAATTCCAGATCAGAGAATCCCAAGGTTGTGGGCTTGTTTTTAACCTTTTCACCCCCCCCCCCCCCATTTCCCGACCATCTTGACATCCTTTCTCTGCACCTCCCTTGTCCTGCATCCCTGAATATTAAATATCAGAACAGAAAGCTTTATATATATATATATATATATATATATATATATATATATATAATCATTTGGGTACGGTTTTGCATGACAATACAAACAACTTGTTGGTCAAAGTACTTGTGCTGAACAATGGTTTGGCAATAAAAGGGTAATAAAAGCTAGTATTTAGGCATATTAGAAAAGACAAGTTCTCTTTAAGGTAACATCAGGGATCTATTAGATCCTTAATATCACCTATGGACCCCACTGAAGCTGATCAAGCACAGGTCATACTTAATCAGAATTTTCCCCAGCCAGTGCTGCTGAGGATGTCAGTTCTGAACCCTGGAAGTGACTAAATGGATCACACTTCCAGGTTCCTTCAATGGAGGGAAAATCTACGAATGGATGTTTGCTGATTTTCCTCTGTTAAGCTCACCATGGCCTTTCAAGCCCTGTAGGAGCGGCAGAGGAGCCCAGGATAGGGATAGTTGCCCCAATCACTTCTGTAGCACCCTCCTAGATAGGTGCCAGGTTAAGTAAATTTAGTTATTGGCTCACTTCAATCAGTTATGCTGAATGTGAATATTTAGGTCTGTTCTGTGTTTCACTGGCTGCAGGGTTGGCTACCTTCCCCTGTCAGTCTTGAGAGTTCTGGAAGATAGTGGACTGGGAGAGTTAAATCAGTAGCTGAATATTTATATTGGCCCTAGCCAATCCCTGGGGAGTGGTGCCCAGATGGGGCTTGGAACAGAGGGGTTCTTGTCCTAAAGAAGGAGATCGCAGCCTGGAGGGCTGCGGCTCTTCTTATCAGGCCTGCCATGTGTCTGAAGCTCATTGAGATCCCAGCTATGCTAGATGGGGGCCTACTCTGATAGAATTCGCTGGAGCTGACTGAGGGACTTTCTTTTGGAAACTGACACTGGAAACTGACAAGAGCAGATAAGTAGAACATGATTGTTATTTTAAATAATAAAAACAAAAAAAATGTATAACCACTTTAATGATGTAACATTGATTACGGTGAAAAGCTTTAACCGCTTCCCGTCCGCCCTATAGCAGTTATACTGCTACAGGGTGGCACAGGTGCTCAAAACACGTATACAGTGCATCCAGAAAGTATTCACAGCGCTTAACTTTTGACACATTTTATTATGTTACAGCCTTATTCCAAAATTGATTAAATTATTTTTTTTTCCTCAACATTCTACAAACAATACCCCATAATGACAACATGAAAGAAGGTCGTTTTGAAATCTTTGTAATTTATTTAAAATAAAAACACCTTTAGCACCTTTAGCACCAATTACAGCCTTAAGTCATTTTGAGTATGAAGCTTGGCACACCTACTTTTGGGCAGTTTCTCCTATTCTTCTTTGCAGTACCTCTCAAGTTCCATCAGGTTGCATGGGGAGCGTCGGTGCACAGCCATTTTCAGATCTCTCCAGAGATGTTCAATCGGGTTCAAGCCTGGCCACTCCTGGACATTCACAGAGTTGGCCCGTAGCCACTCCTTTGTTATGTGGGCTGTGTGCTTAGGGTCGTTGTCCTGTTTAAAGATGAACCGTAGCCCCATTGTAAGGTCCAGAGCGCTCTGGAACAGGTTTTCATCAAGGATGTTTCTGTACATTGCTGCATTCATCTTTCCTTCGATCCTGACTAGTCTCCCAGTTCCTGCCGCTGGAAAACATCCCCACAGCATGATGCTGCCACCATCATGCTTCACTGTAGAAATGGCATTGGCCAGGTGGTGAGTAGTGCCTGGTATCCTCCAGACATGATACTTGGCATTCAGGCCAAAGAGTTCAATCTTTGTTTCATCAGACCAGAGAGTTTTATTTCTCATGGTCTGAGAGTCCCTCAGGTGCCTTTTGGCAAACTCCAGGTGGCTGCCATTTGCCTTTTACTGAGAAGTGGCTTCCATATGGCCACTCTACCATACAGGTCTGATTGGTGGAGTGCTGCAGAGATGGTTGTTGTTCTAGAAGGTTCTTTCTCCACAGAGAAACACTGGAGCTCTTTTAGAGTGACCATCGGGTGCTCTTCTCCCTCGATTGTTCATTTTGGCTGGCCGGTCCACTCTAGGAAGATTCCTGGTGGTTCCAAACTTCTTCAATTTACGGATCATGGAGGCCACTGTGCTCATTGGCACCTTCAATGCTGCAGACATTTTTCTGTACCCTTCCCCAGATCTGTGCCTTTATACAATCCTGTCTCGGAGGTCTACGGACAATTCCTTGGACTTCATGGCTTGGTTTGTGCTCTGACATGCACTGTTAACTGTGGGACCTTATATAGACAGGTTTATGCCTTTCCTAATCATGTGCAATCAACTGAATTTCCAACAGGTGGACTCCAATCAAGTTGTAGAAGCATCTCAGGATGATCAATGGGAACAGGATGCACCAGAGCTCAATTTTGAGTGCCATGGCAAAGGTTGTGAATACTCATGTACATGTGTTTTTTGTTTTTGGGTTTTTTTTTAATAATTTTAATAAATTGCAAAGATTTCAAAACTAACTTCTTTCACGTTGTGATTATGGGGTATTGTTTGTAGAATGTTGAGGGAAAAAAAATAATTTAATCTACCATATTTTCCGGCGTATAAGGCGACTGGGTGTATAAGACGACGACCCCCTAATTTTCCAGTTAAAACATAGGTTTTGGGCTATACTCGCCGTATAAGACTACCCCCCTTCCGAAGGAAACACCATTTAAAAACATCAGATTTTTTAATTGAAATGGTTATGACTTACCGGTACTTAAAATCCTTCAAAATCCTCATGTTCATCCTCTGACATCATAAGTTCATGAATGACATCTTGTGATACATTTGTAAGACAGTCATCATATGGATCAAATTCCAAATCAGATGGTTACCGCTGGATGTGCGGTAATACGGTAGCTTCGGCTACATACAGTATACAGTATATATACAGCCCGCTGGATGTGCAGTAATACGGTACGGTCGGCTACATACAGTATACAGTATATATACAGCCCGCTGGATGTGCGGTAATACGGTAACTTCGGCTACATACAGTATACAGTATATATACAGCCCGTTGGATGTGCGGTACGGTACGGTAATACGGCTACACATACAGTATACAGTATATATACAGCCCGCTGGATGTGCGGTAATACGGTACGGTCGGCTACATACAGTATACAGTATATATACAGCCCGCTGGATGTGCAGTAATACGGTACGGTCGGCTACATACAGTATACAGTATATATACAGCCCGCTGGATGTGCGGTAATACGGTACTTCGGCTACATACAGTATACAGTATATATACAGCCCGCTGGATGTGCGGTAATACGGTACGGTCGGCTACATACAGTATACAGTATATATACAGCCCGCTGGATGTGCGGTAATACGGTAGCTTCGGCTACATACAGTATACAGTATATATACAGCCCGCTGGATGTGCGGTAATACGGTAGCTTCGGCTACATACAGTATACAGTATATATACAGCCCGCTGGATGTGCGGTAATACGGTAGCTTCGGTTACATACAGTATACAGTATATATACAGCCCGCTGGATGTGCGGTAATACGGTACAGTCGGCTACATACAGTATACAGTATATATACAGCCCGCTGGATGTGCAGTAATGTACATACAGTATACCGCACTGAGCCAAGCTGGCTCAAAACAAATGTCCCTATGACAGATTAATCTGCCAGCCCGCTGGATGTGCGGTATATACAGTATACTGAGCCAAGCTGTTTCAAAAACGTACCGGTACGTCCCTACGGTAACCAGACCACTGGATGTGTGTATGTACAGTAGCTGAGGCTACATACAGTATACGCTGGGCCAATCACAGCGAGTGATGTGTTCTACTAATGAATACAAAGCCTGCTCGGATTGGCTGAGGTTGTGACATCAGCCCACCTCTCTGACTCAGCCAATCCGAGCAGGCTTTGTATTCATTAGTAGAATACATCACTCGCCGTGATTGGCCCAGTGTATACTGTATGTAGCCGCAGCTACCGTACATACACGCATCCAGCGGGCTGATTACAGTAGGGACGTACCGGTACGTTTTGAAACCGCTTGGCTCAGCGCAGTATACTGTATATACCGCACATCCAGCGGGCTGACAGATTAATCTGTCATAGGGACATTTGTTTTGAGCCAGTTTGGCTCAGCACGGTATACTGTATGTACAGTATTACCACACATCCAGCCAGCTTGACCCAAACAAACCCAAGGTTCACATTTTATACCTCGCGTATAAGACGACCCCCAATTTTTGGGGTATATTTTTAAGTATAAAAAGTAGTCTTATATGCCAGAAAATACTGTATTTTTGAATAAGGATGTAACATAACAAAATGTGGCAAAAGTTAAGTGCTGTGAATACTTTCTGGATGCACTGTATATACATGATTTTGCATGTCTGGGTAGGGGGCGTGCGCCCTACCTGCACCGCCATTTGTAGGTGCAGCTGTCAATCTCCGTGTCCCGGTCAGTGATTACTCGCCAGCGCCCGATGATTGCTGAGGATCTCCCACAGGGGGCAAAACTGTTAGTAAACAAAACAGTTCTCCTCCCTGTCAGCCCGTGCACACTGCTTTGAATGGCTGTGTGCAGCGTGCTTAATTTTTATAGTTAAAACACACCCAGCACACAGTTAACCCTTTGATCACCCCAGATGTTAACCCCTTCATGCCCAGTGCCATTAGTACAGTGTCAGTGCTTTTTATTAGCACTGATCACTGTATTGGTGTCCCTGGGGATGTCAGTGACACCAAGTCAGTTCCCCCCAGTGTCAGAATGCCCTCCGCAGTCCTGCAGTCCTGCTATAAGTCGCTGATCGCCACCATTACTAGTAAAAATTAAAAAAAAAATCCCAGTATATATACCGCCATTTGTAAATGCTATAACTTTCACGTAAACCAATTCATTTACACATATTGGGATTTTTTTGTTAGCAAAGACATGTAACAGAATACATTTTGGCAAACATTTATGATGAAATTAGATTTTTAAAAAATTTTTACTGGACATGTTTAATAGCAAAAAGTAAACAATATTGTTTTTTTTTTCTCAAAATGTTTGGTCTTTTTTTGTTCGTATAGCACAAAAAATAAAAAACACACAGGTGATCAAATATTACCAAAAGAAAGCTCAATTCGTGGGAAAAAAAGGACGTAAATGTCATTTGGGTGCAGCATTGCATGACCGCGCAACTGTCAGTTAAAGTAACACAACGCCATAACGCAAAAAATGGCCTGGTCAGGAAGGGGGGTATATCCTCAGGAGGGCAAGTGGTTAAGCACTATAGATAATTTTGGCTATAATTATTGTGATTTGTGTTTTTATGTTGCTGTTGTCATGACTATTTTAGATATCTGTAAATACATAAACAGTGTTCTCTATATATGCAGTATTCATGGTTTATTATCATTTGTCCGGTAACAATGGAAGTATGATGGGAATTTATGATGATCGATGTGTTCATCACCATGTGATGAGGAGACGTCTTTTTCCCATATATTTTGGTGATGTATAGAGTCTGTTTTCCATTTTTGAAAATTGGGAGTTATATTCTCCTTCTGCAGAATTCCCCTGAATATTGTATGTTCAGTGTTATTTTGCACCTGTGCCATTCGAAGCTCTACACCAGAAAGTATATGAACAAAACTGGAGTGCATTAAACCCGGCATCTGCCTTTTTTTTACCAACTCTATTCTGTGAATTCACAGCTGCCTGGCCTGCGAGTCTCTCCATTAAACAAAAGAAGGTTTTTGTATATTAGAAATGCAGCTTTGCATAAAAGTTATTAAAGCCAGCGTGATTACCCTGTATTTACTGTCTGTATTTAATAATGGCAATAATTACTTATTCAGAAAATACGAATTGGCTTGCACAATCCTCGCTTACGCTTAATAATTAAAATTCTTTTTTTTTCTTTGCCTAAAGTTTTAAATAGTTTTACCGTTTATGTAGCTAAAAGGAATTTAAAGAGCTTTCTACACATTGGAGTTCATCTCAGTTAATCTCGGAGTTACGTATTTTAGTATGGATATACTGCATAAATACGATATTTCATTGTTGTCTGTTCATGAGGATAGAATGAAAATGCAGAAACTGAAATGTCATATTTGAAAAAAGTCAGTGTTTTACAGTGCCTTGAAAAAGTATTCATACCTCTTGAAATTTTTCATTTTTCATGTTACAACTAAAAACGTAAATGTATTTTATTGGGATGTTATGTGATAGACCAACACAAAGTGGCACATAATTGTGAAGTGGAAGGAAACTGATATTCAGCCCCCCGGAGTCAATACGTTGTAGAACCACCTTTCTCTGCAATTAGAGCTGCAAGTCTTTTTGGGAATGTCTCTACCAGCTTTTCACATCTAGAGAGTGAAATTTATGCCCATTCTTCTTTGCAAAATAGCTCAAGCTCTGTCAGATTGGATGGAGAGCAGGGGCGGACTGACAACTCATGGGGCCCCTGGGCAATAGGGAATCGTGGGGCCCCTGTGTCCTTGCCCAAACTCAAAAAAGCCTATGAAAAAGGTACCAGGGGCATCTCATGGGGCCCCCTACTGACCCCGGGCTCTCAGGCAGTGCCCGAGTTTCCAAATGGTCAGTCCGCCCCTGATGGAGATCGCATCTGTGAACAGCAATTTTCAAGTCTTGCCACAGATTCACAATTGGATTTAGGTCTGGACTTTGACTGGGCCATTCTAACACATGAATATGCTTTGATCTAAACCATTCCACTGTAGCTCTGGCTGTATGTTTAGGGTCGTTGTCATGCTGGAAGGTGACCCTCCGCCCCAGTCTCAAGTCTTTTGCAAACTCTAACAGGTTTTCTTCTAAGATTGCCCTGTATTTGGCTCCATCCATTTTCCCATCAACTCTAACCAGCTTCCCTATCCCTGTTGAAGAAAAATATCCCGACACCATGATGCTGCCACCACCATGTTTCACGGTGGGGATGGTGTGTTCAGGGTGATGTGCAGTGTTAGTTTTCTGCCACACATAGTGCTTTGCTTTTAGGCCAAAAAGTTCATTTTTGGTCTCATCTGATCAGAGCACCTTCTTCCACGTGTTTGCTGTGTCCCCCATATGGCGTCTCGCAAATTGGAAACAGGACTTCTTATAGCTTTCTTTCAACAATGGCATTCTTCTTGCCACTCTTCCATAAAGGCCAGATTTGTGGAGTGCAAGACTAATAGTTGTCCTGTAGACAGATTCTTCCACCTGAGCTGTGGATCTCTGCAGCTCCTCCAGAATTACCATGGGCCTTTTGGCTGCTTCTCTGATTATTGCTCTCCTTGCCTGGCCTGTCAGTTTAGGTTGACGGCCATGGCTTGGTAGATTTACAATTGTGCCATACTCTTTCCATTTTTGTATGATTAATTGAACAGTGCTCTGTGAGATGTTCAAAGCTTGGGATATTTTTTTATAACCTAACCCTGCTTTAAACCTCCACAACTTTATCCCTGACCTGTCTGGTGTGTTCCTTGGCCTTCATGATGCTGTTTGTTCACTAATGTTCTCTAACAAACCTCTGAGGGCTTCACAGAACAGTTGTATTTTTACTGAGATTAAATTACGCACAGGTGGATTGTATTTACTAATTAGGTGACTTCTGAAGTCAATTGGTTCCACTAGATTTTAGTTAAGGGTATCAAAGTAAAGAGAGCTGAATACAAATGAATGCCACGCTTGTAAGATATTTATTTGTGAAAAAGTTTGAAAAATTTATACTTCCACTTCACAATTATGTGCCACTTTGTGTTGGTCTATCACAATGATCTTCACACTATGGCCCAGTGGCAAGATGCAGCCCTTTGCCTGTTTTTATCTGGCCCTTGGGGTATTATTGCCCCTACTGACAGCAACAGTGGGGCATATTCCCTGCCAGTGATACCAGCAATGGGTCACTATTTCTCCCACTGACACCAATGATGGGGCAATATACCTCTCACTGACCCTAATGATGGGGCACTATTCCTCCTCCTAAACCAAAAATGGGGTTTTGCTTACTCCAACTGACATCAGGACATTTTATACTCCCACTGGCCGCAGTCTGGCCCCCCTAAAATCTGAAGGAAGGTAAACTGGCCCTTTGATTAGAAAGTTTGGAGACCCTTGGTCTATCAAATAAAATCCCAATAAGATAAATTACGTTTTTGGTTGTAACTGAACAAAATGTGGAAAATTTCAAGGTATGAATACATTTTCAAGGCACAGTATATTTAGAATGATCAGCCACTGTATAAATTAATGTGCTTGTTTTTTTGTTCTTTAAAGAAATTATAGTGGCTACTGTATAGCCAAAAGAGTGGGGTGCAGGAAAAAGACCATATCCAACCTGTTACTAATACATACTCCAAATAATTTCCTGACTCTAATTTGCTGCTGCTATATGTGCTCCAACTTGGAGACTCTCAAATATACACTTAGGACCACAGTATATAGAGGATCCTTGGTGAAGCACTGTGGCTTTCAAACACATTTGCAAATGTGTGCAACTAAACCCTCTGCTTTTACAGTGAATTGTTAGACGGTGTGAGTTTGGGTATTTTTCATGCAGGCTAGCTGGTAAGTGTGCTGGGAAATTTTTTGTTTGTTTGTGATGTGCAGTGAAAGAGCATGGCCATTGTGTTATCTCTCAGATTGCATCTCTAATGGAAAGTCTGTAGAGTGCATGGAGGGAGGAGGATGAGTTACTCTGACACAGCCGGCAGTGTGCAGTTTAGACTCCACACTGAACCCTGAAGTCTAATGTTTGACCCTTAGGTTTCTTCTTCCCCTGCCTTGATGGTTTCCCTTTGGGAGAGCCCCTAATCTAGGTGGTTGGCTTCAGTTGATCAGAAGAAGAAAGGTCTGGCAAGCCTTTTGGCTAGTTGGACCAGAGTGTGTCTTACCCTCAGGAGCCTTGCAGGAGTCACGGAAAGGTTCTTCCTCTTCAGGATGGGACCATATAATACACCCAAGTGCACTTTTTTGTGTGTGTTCATACACATAATTTTGGTTCACTTTGGTGTTGGTTTTTTTTTTTTTGAAGAATAAAAAATAGATTTTTACTGCACCTTAGTTGGGGATCCTCTGTGTCAACAGATAAATGTAAGCCCTAAAAAGGCAAAGAAACAAAGGATCCGCCTGGGATTCTCTGGCAAAACGTACAAGGGAATGCATCCCTTTCTATTTAGATGGGTCAAAATGTTTTGTTTTTTTTGTTACCCCTGAGGATGCGCTAGAGCGAGAAACGCATTGGGTGGAGCCAAGAATGCTGTTGTCACGTCTCTGCATGGTCCCAATGTGGTAGCCATCTTTGTGAGTTTTGTTTTCTGCTCGCTTTTTGCTTGCAACTTTGTACTGGTTTAACCACTTCTGTGCCGCCCTATAGCGGAAATACTGAACAGGGCAGCACTGGTGCGTAAAATCACGTATATACATGCGGCCTCGGGCTGTCAATCACCGTGTCTCGGCTGGTGACTCCCCACCGGCACCTGGTGATCTCCAAGAATTACCGAAGGGAGAGAGACCTGTGTATATACAACACAGATTTCTCCCCTGTCAGCTCCTACAACTGCTTTGTATGGCTCTGCATGGCAGTGACACCAAGTCAGTTCCCCCCATGTCAGAATGCCCGCTGCAGTCTGCTATAAGTCGCTGATCACAGCCATTACTAGTAAAAAAAAAATAAAAAAAAAATTCCAGTATATATACCACCCTTCTTAAACGCTATAACTTTCACATAAACCAATTAATTTACACATATTGAGATTTTTCTTAGCAAAGACATGTAGCAGAATACATTTTGACCTAAATTTAATTTGATTTTCAAAATTTTTTTACTGGACATATTTAATAGCAAAAAGTTAAAAATATTGCTTTTTTCTCAAAATTGCCGGTCTTTTTTTGTTTATAGCGAAAAAAAATAAAAACCGAACGGGCGTTTTTTTACCACAGAAAAAAATCTCTATTTGTGGGAAAAAAAGGATGTAAATTTCATTTGGGTGCAGCGTTGCATGACCGCGCAATTGTCAGTTAAAGTAACGCAGCTCCGTATCGCAACATATGGCCTGGTCAGGAAGGGGGGTAAATCCTCTGGAGGGTAAGCGGTTAATAAAATGCTATAATATGCACATTTTATCTATGCTGGTGAGCAATTGATCTATACAACCACGAACATCCACCTACCAGCTCTGGACAGTAATGGTCCCACAGATACTACTGGCAAAGGGACAACTTTTTTTAAAGAGACCAATCGTGGGACCAAGGTGTTGTATTGTCTGTATGCTGCCTGTAATTTACACAGCCTTAAGCCCCGTACACACTATAAGAAAATTGTAAGAAAATTTTCATATGAGGACCGATCATCCGATAATTGGATCGTTAGTACACAGCTTTTGAGAGCCGATCACGACAATTCGTACGACAATATCCGAAGGGACAAGCGCAAAACTTTTTCTCGTATGATACCAGATCATACAATTTACGTTTAATCAGTACAGTAGTCGTCTGAAAATACAATACAAATACAACGCAATACAAGACATCACTTTCAAAATTCTTTTCTTTCATAGGAGAATTTTCGTATCTTTAGTAACCTTTTCACTTTCGATGTGAGACTAGCAGGCAGAAAAAAACGGCTGATCGTTCATCCCGATATTCTCATCGTGTGTACGGGGCAATACATTCTGGTGAGTGCGGTGTGCTGGTGGTGGTGCTCAGAGTGGTAATTAGAAGAAAAATACTTGGAGCGTGTGGAGATTCTTAAAGGAGAAACACTTATTTATGTGAACTCTCACAAACAGTAATTTATAAACTCATTTATCACCTTCCACTTCAATATTTATTTTGGACACTCAATACTTTTGTATATATGGTATTTATTCACCTACATTTTATTTTTGCTAGTTCACTGTGTTCATGTTTTTTTTTTTGAGCACTGCACTAGTTGCATATATTATTTGAAAGGGTTTTGGCATATTGACCTTGAGTGCTAGCTGATAATGCAAATAAGAAATAAATGCTCCCAACACAGGGTGGTATCTGTGGGGGAAATTAAAATGTTCAAAAGTGCTTCATTCTAATATAGACTAATTGAAAATGGAAAAGGAGACTCATGGACTTTTTAGGCACTACAATGGTAATTCATAAAAATAACATTCTATTGAACATATACAAACATGTAAAATCTTTACAGAATGGTAACTTCACCCTGTAACCCAAACAAATTCACTGCAGACACACATACTGTTAATAGACCCCACAGTCTTATAGGTATGCTGCGTCTCGGCAATAACTACAAGGGGTATTCTTTATATGGTGATAGAAATGGCTCAACATGTTTCGCAATGATATCGCTTCTTCAGGAGCTTATCAGAGAATTTCTAGATAGAGATATAAAATACATGGGCAACACGTATAAATCCTACATACAATAAAGTAATAGGAACATCCAAATAACTAGACAGATGGTAAAACAACAATTTAGTAGATGTACATACATCTCCACAAAGACCATGGAGGAAAGCACTCAGC